GAGCAGCCACTGTAAAAGCACAATTTCCTCTCTGTTTTCTCTTGGTCTTTGGGACGTGGAGAAGAGCCTGATCTGCTGACCTGACAACACGAGAGGTTTTTTTTTGTTTCATTCACATGTTCGAGAGGAAGTCTGAGATACGAGCAGGTCAGACAGATACTCACCTGCTCGTACCTCAAACAAAACACAACTCCAGGTATGTTTTGACAGAGATAACAACATTCTAACATGACTTAAAGCTCACAAGAGTCCGTTTTGTGTACCAAAGGACTCTACTTAACACATTACAATTACGTTTTAGCTTTTCCCTTTGCAAATTGTTGTGTAACGGTTTGATTTCGTTTACTTTCCAAACTAAATCAGAACTGCATGAATACTGCATCTGGACGGAAGTTATGATTACAGACGGGGCTTTGAGACTTCTCTCCGAAATACTAATTATCCACAAATAAGAACCAAATTGGAGGGAGGCTACAGAGTGAATTCAAACTGCGCTGGCCACCAGAAACATTAAATGATCACATTAGTGGATATTGCTTTTGCGAGTTCAGATTCTTTTCACATGGACTTTTGTGTTATAAAGTGTATTAAAGCTGGTTCCTCAGACTAATCTCACTAATGTCTGCTAACTATTGACCGTCAAAACAGAAAATGACGCTTGAATGCTATTGACCAAGTGAGAATTGAAAAGGCTTGTACTGGAATGGAATGTACCGCAGTGAAATAAAAGGTTAAGGCTTTGGTGGCAAGAGATTTGAACCAAAAAATAAGGAGAAAATTGGGCTCAAATGGCTTTAGAAATTACCATGACAACTGCTAACAGCACTGAACCACATGAATCTTAATTTTTATTCACTAACTCACACAAACTGGAAGAAATGGGCAAGTGGGAGATAATAACGAAAATTGTTAATAGAGCAAATTTTGTTTTGTAGATATGCTAAATTTGAATCGAGTAAATTATTCATGATTAAAAAAAATATTCCTAAAGGATGCTAAAAGATTTCAAAATAAAAATGGAGTGTAATCTTTCCAACAAGTACTGGATTTAAAGGTCCGACATTATGCAAAATTGACTCTTGTGAGCTTTAAGTCATGTTGTAATGCTGTTACCTCTCGAAAACAAATACACCGTGAGTTGTGTTTTGTTTATCATTTATCCTTTATCATTATTCTTTCTATAAAAATCTGTAAAATATGCCTGAACTGTAGTGGTTGTACTGTTGCACATTTTAAATTGTTCATTTTTAAAGCTGTTTGTAAAGGGCGTCCCATTTGTCATGACCCCTCGATTCCATTTGCAGCCATTTTGATTTCATGATAAGAGCCATAAAAATCTATTTCCTGAGTGGTTTTACTGTTGCACATTTTGACAGTCGCACATTTTTGCTGTTGGACATTTTATACTTTTATACTTTTTTTTAAAAACTGCTTAGTTTGAATGGATGTTCCTCTTGAAAGTAATTGCGGTCTGCACTTATCGTAAGCTTGATTAAAAAGTAAAAACTAATCATAATTTTGATCTGTTTTCTTTTTTGAGCATAAAACGAGAGGGTGCAATAAAAAAATTGATTTTACAATATATTATGTTGTTAATTAAATTGTAAATTTACAGTAAGCTATTGGTTAATAATTGCATTACCTTTAACAGCAATTCAACGTAAATACTTTAACAGCAGTTTACTGTATTTATTTCACAGTTTACAGCTAATTACTGCTATATCACAGTAATTCATTGGGCACGGCAAGTAAAGTGTTGTTGTTTTATCCTAAATTACTGTGAAATAATTATAGTAAAATGCTGTGAAAATTCCTGTGAAAGTAATGCAATTATAACCAATAATTTACTGTAATTTCACAGTGAAAATTGTTACAGTGTACATTTCCAAAGTTCAAAATGTTCTATTCCACCTTGTGATGTCATGAAGTACTTTTTAAGTTAACACACCCCTTTTACCTTTTGTTCAGTAGAAATTGGCAGTTCCAGGGGTGAAATTATCCAAACGATTCTAGTGAAGGTGTATGGAGTTTAAAAACACAATGGAGCACTTCCTGTATTACCACACGACATCACAAGGTGGAACAGAGTAAAATGTGTGAAGGAATTATACCATAGATCAGAAAACATTATATGGGCCCTTTAAACTGTTTACTTAAAGACACATTATGGCACTTTACTGATGGATTGCCACAATATTGTCTCTTATCCCCTCAAAGTGATAATCCATAATACTGAGGCTTTTTTTTTTTTTTTTTTTTGTCATTTTTGTCAATATCACTGACCCTTGGGTAGGCTATTATAAGATATTCTTCCATGTACCATTCTGGCACATACACAGCATAATTAGTAGCTCAGGTCTCTCAAATGAGGAAGACGTCTCCTCTTGAATATCCTCGTGTATCATTCAGAACTCATTATATAACTTCTTTTACCTGAGTCAGTTCGCTTCACTTGTTTATTCTGCAAAAACCTGCTCTGTTTCTCAGTCCTCTGCATTGTTATTTGTATTTATATTTTTTTTTACTCTTAAACCGCCATCTTTGTTTTGACACAAATGGACCATATGTTTCTGTGACGGTTAATCCGCCTGCCAATCACGCCCAACTGAAATCTGGGAGAAAGAATACTGTTCCAGAGTGTAATTATAAAGTATTGTAAAAGTGTGGGGGCTTGGTCGGCCATTATGTAACTACTGTTAGAAACTGAAAAAAGCGCATAGGAATTCATAATGTTCATACTATTCATGAAACATTTTCTGATCTATATTATATAATCAGTGTTGGGGAGTAACAGATTACATGTACCGGAGTTACGTAATCAGAGTACAAATTATGAGTAACTGTATTCAGTTACAGTTACTGTTTCAGTGAGTGGTAATCGGATTACAGTTACTTTGTTGAAATAAATGGATTACACAGCGGTATTTTCCTGTTTTCATATTTTGGGCTAAACCAGGACTAAACCAGGACTAAACCAGGACTAAACCAGGACTAAACCCGGACTAAACCAGGACTAAAAACAGGACTAAACCAGGATTCAAATCAGGACTAAAACCAGGACTAAAATCAGGACTAAATCAGGACTAAAACCAGGACTAAAACCAGAACTAAAACCAGAACTAAAACCAGAACTAAAACCAGAACTAAACCAGGACTAAACCAGAACTAAACCAGGACTAAACCAAGACAAAAAAAACAGGACTAAACCAGGACTAAAATCTGGACTAAATCAGGACTAAAAGCAGTTATAAAACCAGGACTAAACCAGAACTAAACCAGGACAATATCAAGTAATCCAAAGTATTCAGATTACATTACTCACTTTAAGTAATTTACTGGATTACGTTACAAACTACATTTTGGGGTTTGTAATCTGTAATCTGTAGGGGAATACATTTTTAAAGTAACCTTCCCAACACTGTATATAATGTTGTTTCCTCATCACAAACAGACCTGGAGCTGTGTTTTGTTTCATGCACACGTTTAACACACAAACCCTGCGTATTTAGGCTGAGTTCTTCTCTCAGACAGAAAACACTCAGTTCCAGCTTGTTCTGTTCCAGTAGAATCATTTGGAAAATTTTAGCCCTGGATTTGCCAATCTCTCCTGAAGAAAAGTCAAATTTGCGTAACACAGGACCTTTTACAGTCACTCAAAGCACTTTACATCAAGGAATCGTTCACCCATTCACACACACATTATACGCAGACACTAAAGGCAAGGTGGGTTAAGTGCCTGGCCCAAGGGCACAACGGCAGCATTCATCTGTGAGAGCTGGAACCGCGAAGGACGAGCACTCTATCAACTGAGCTACTGCAGCCCAAGTATAGCTAATGATACTATTGCAGTGATGTCATGCTGGGGGTGTCCTACATGTATCTGTATTAGTGGAATGTTCAGCAGTTTCCATGGTGACACAATGCACACATTAGCAAACACAGACAAAACGTTTTAAGACACAGGGTTCCCCACTCACTTTTTCACACTTTAATGTATTGACACCAAACTTGATACCTGGACTCATGAACTCTCACTCTAGACCCTCAAAAAATGTGGTGACCTTTGACCTCTAGGGGGCGCTATTATTAGCAAAAAGGTGTTTTAAGTGATATCTCTTGATGTGTTTGGATTTCCAAGAAAATTCCTGTGCCTGTTAATTTACCTTCTGCATTTGGGGGCCATGTTGAGTTAGTCAGAAATGCTCTTTTTTGGGTATCCCATAGAACGCCTTGGAATAAAGCTATGAAATTTGGCATGTTGATTCAGGCCAGGCCATGATCACTTCTGGGTCTCTACCTCAAGAGCTATAGCGCCACCAGCTGGTCAAAGTTGGACATGCATTCGTATTGACACCAAACTGCATAAATGGTCCTGTGGTGACTTGCCCTGGACTCTCAAAATGTTTTGTGACTTTAACCTCTAGGGAGTGTTTTAATTGGCAAAATTGTTTTAAGGGATATCTATTGATCTGCTTGGATTAAAAACTAAATTTCACTGTGCATGTGCTACCATTCCTGCTCTTGCCTATTCTGCTACCACTGCAAGGCCTCCACGTTGCAGCTATATTTGTAGATAGGACATATTTCTGCTTTTAAAATACCTTGACAAGATTTTAGTGTGAATTATTTCCCAAGAATTCAAGTAAAAACGTATTTCTTCATGTTGTCTGCACTGAAATGAATCATGGAATATGTAGTTCCCTATGTTTATAAGATGTTGCTACTATGAAATCATGTATTTAAGCAAAGGAACTTGTAATTCAATATGTTCTGACAGTCCGCGATATTATTGTGAGACTTTTGACGATACAATATCACAATATTTTGGTTATTGTTACATCTCTACTAATCAGCTCTTTCTGGTCAGATTGCGTTAAAACAAAGCTCAAATTATGTCTAACTTGAGTAACTTCAGACAGAGTAGTGCTACAGTTAGCATCATACTCCCAGGGAATGTTGAGGACATCAGCTGCAAAGTATCAATTTGTGTTTTCTTTTACCTCCTCCGCTGTCCTTCTCCTCCTCCTCGATGCTGTTCTTGATGCTGTCGTATTCCTCATCGATGTTCTGGTTTCCTCTGATCTGACTCAGGACTCGTCTGGCCTTTTGGGTGAGACCGCACTGGATCAGCCACCGAGGACTCTCCGGTAAAAACAGAAACCCCATGAACTGGAGCACAGCTGGAATAACAGACAGACCCAGCATGTACCTGCAAAGAAAGATATCATCAGCTACTCTGGCAAGAATCTCATTGCAAAAATCTATGCAAATTCAAATTACTCAGATTAAACGTCCTATATTACGCAAAAAATGTACTCTTGTCTATCACTTCGCTCTACTGCGCATGTCTCCTGCAGAAAGAGCAGCTGTCCTGTCTGTTTCATGTCAGTGTCTTGTAGAATTTCATGCAGGTTTCAGCCTCTCTCAGGGGTCAGGGCTAGTTGTATCAATCAGGTGGAGTTGATGTCCAGCTACTGAAGTTTGAGACATTTCTTCTTGTTATTTATGCACTCACCTGCATTTAATGCATACGGGTAAACTATTAATCATATTCTGCAGATTACAAGCTGCAAGTAGTGAAATATGCGGCCGAAAACTGTAATCGAGCAGCAGAAAGAAAGTTTGAAGTGAGCGAGAAACTTGTGAGGGACTGGCAAAAAGCGGAGGATACTCTAACAGCAATGAAGAAAACAAAAAAGCTAATCATCGGCTAACAGTTAATATGTTATGTTAACATACCAGACGACTGCTCAGTCTGTTGTTCTCTTTTCTATTGTTATTACTATAACTTGCCTTTGAAGATGAAATGTAGGTTCTTGGTCTTTGATTTTATAAAATAAATTTCCCCCCAAAAATGCGACTTATAGTCCAGTGTGACTTAAGTATGCTTCATTCTTATTTTGGCTAGTGCAATTTATACTCTGGAGTGACTTGTAGTCCGGAAAATACATTAAGTATTTTTTCTTAATTCAAACAACATACAATTTAGTTTCTTATTTTAAGTACAAAGAGTTGTTTTTCTTCTCTTCACTGTAAATAGGTGTATTTTCCTATTTCGACTACAAAAAGACTTGTTCCGTTGGAAGATTGACTAATTTTTCATTTTTTGTAGAGCTCCCAAAAATAAAGTTGATACATATTTATTAAGGTTGTGCTGACCTATTTAGAGAGAGCTCAGCTGGGTTTGTTCATTAAATTTATCGCAAGGAGAAAATGTCAAGGATTCATTTGGCAGGCTTGAAGTATGCAAGAAATGTACCGTACCAGTCGCCAAAAAAATTACAAGAGATATAAATAGGCAAAATCACTGGTAATACTAAAAATCAAGTCACGCTTAAACTTACAGTTGTATTATTTTATTTGAACTGTACTTTCATGATGTGAAGTACATTGAGACATTATTAAATAAGAATGCTTCATTACCTTGATTAGGCATCCCTAACATTGCTGATACTGACAATTTTGCAGGATATTGCTTCGAAATATCAGTTTGGCTTATTATCCTTTTTGGGCCAAGAAATGGATGTAATTAGACAGATTCTCATAATGTTTAAACTTATGTTTACACAAAGCTGCTCAATTACTTGAGGGATAAACAACAGCTTCATAACACATTTGGATTCGTTACTTACAGCTGTAGAATCGGAATCACTATCAGAAGTGCAAAGGTTGAATCAGTGCAGTCCTAGTTTTGACGGAAATAAACTCCTTGTTCAGTCCCTACACTCGTATTGGTTAATAATGAAAATGATCAGAGACCAAAAGTCAAACCATCAAACATTCAGCTTGTGCAAATTATGCAAAATAGCTGAGAAATATATTAATTTCATTTAAAAGATACAAATATGGCTTGCTTAAGGTGACGATTACCAATTACAGGGGGAAAAGTATTTCAAAAGTTGTTATGTAAAACTTCAAAAAGTGACATAAGTCTTCAGACTCCAGACTTATCTTCAAACTTTTTCTCAGCTAAAAGAGATTTTCAGAGATAGAATCTGAGCCTCTCAAACTGTTAATGTCCATGTGATGTAACAGAAAAGGACAGTAGAACAGATAAAGCAGAGCTGCGTGATTATAGGAAAGACGTACACACGCCTGATCATTCCACTGTACGCTGCTCTGAAAATGTTACCGTGCCGACATGAGGAGGAAACATGTGACATTTGAAAACGAGTGACTTTTTGTGGCATTTGAAAACCACAGATGGAACAGATCGGCTGCTTATGGTCCAGATAAGACTCACATGGATTACATACACAGACCTTGGGCACAAGGCAGTTTAAGGGTCTTGCTAAATGATTGTCTTGCTCAACAACAGGATGATCTGATCTATTCTGGGACTGAACTAGCAACCTTTGGGATAGTGGAAAAAAATACCTGTTAATCATTTGTCATTTTGTCAACAGTAAATAAAAATATTTTATTTTTTGCGTAAGCCATCATTTTCTCCTCACAATTCCAACTGAACTGTTATTAGAGGTGTCACAATATTACATTTTAGTGTTAAATTATTTTGAAAAGGAATAGCAGACTGTCAGGATTTTTACAGATTTTATTTTGTGTTGATGGAACTAATAATTCTGGAGAAATCCACTTTTCGGAATGCATTTGTACAATACATTAAGCCTAAAAGCATGCGTGTGTTTGCTATTGGCGGAAACATGTGCGATGTCTGTGCTCTAAATTAAAAAAATAGTCATTTAACTTGGATTATAATGATCAAAAGCACCAGAGGAATGAAAGGAGAGAAAAGGTGAGAAGCTGGATCAGAGCGCAGGAGTGGGAGGAGGACAGACACACACACAGAGGCAAAGAGAAAGAGATGCTGGACTTCTTAATCAGATTGTGCAGATTGAAGTCAAAACTTGTGACACAGAAGGACACGTCAGGAGACATAAATGCACTAGTCCCTGGGCGTATACTCGTCTATGACTATGTGTTTGCTCTGATACAGCTCAAGATCATTCTAAAGCTATTCAGGAAATGTTCACGTCTGTCCTGTGCTTTTTTATTATCAATACCTGCTCAAATGAGTATCTGGTTTTGTATCAAATAGTATGTGATTTACAGTACTGTTGACAACCCTCAGTCTTACCTCCACCCATCACGCTGCAGGTAGCTGAAGGCTCCGTCAATGAGGCTGGCGGTGAACTGTCCTGCTGTGATGAAAAGTGTGTTCACGGTGACGAGCTGCCCCCGAAGGTGAGGAGGAGAAGCTTCGGCGATGTACACAGGCACAGTCATGGACGCAATACCTGCAAAAACAAACATACAAGAGCCTTAAGAAAACAAGATAATACTACAATATTCACCAACTGCATTTGGAGGAGGATAGGAGTGGGCGAAAGGTTTAAAGTTCAAGGAGTCTTAAGTTAAGTTCAAAGTAGCGGTACATAAAATCCGAAGACAACACAAAGCAATTAAAAAATAAATATATATTGAAGCTCAACAGTCTCGCCCACTTCATAGTTGACTTTTGGAAAATTCAAATATTAAAAGTTCAAATGCATTGCGGAGGCTAAACCTTTATTTATTTATTTTAAATTTTTTTTCTGAAAGTCTAAGAGAAAAATGAATGGGAATTTTACTTTGTTGGGCGGTCATTGTCGAGCTCCATAATTAGACAGAATACAGATTAGAGTGACTGCTTTAAAATGTCAGTGGCAGCAGGAATAAGAGTTCTTGTATCTGTTTTTATTTTACATTTGGTTTCTGAGGAGATCTGCTGGGCTTTTTTTAAGAATCTGTGCCCTTTAAATGTCCTGGAGGTCAGAAAAAAAGCAAACAAAGCTCTGCAAGTGCTTCTTGGCTTCTTGTTTTTGTTTTTTTTAAACAAAAGAGCACCATACCAACAAATAAAAGAGAAGGTGAAAACAGACTCAATAAAACATGAATAAAACATTGGTGCACCACTTCAGCAGGATGTGAGCTAAGAGAAGCTGGGGTAAGGGAGTCTCACTGGTCTTTGCAACATTAAGCATTAAACATTAACGAGGGTGTGTTATCCAAAATCTTTTTATTTTTTTAGCTTTCCACCTTGAGATGTCATCCATGCATGTTTCAGTAATTTAGAGATTTCTCCCGAACCCTATCATGGACTGCTGTATATAAAAGGAGTGGACTAAGCGAGTGTGAAGTCACTCACAGCGTTCAGCTCAAATGAGGCTCGCAATGCTCATGGTTACAGGAGTGAATCTGTAGCCAGGTTCTATGTTATGAATAGGATTTTTTTTACTGGACAAATTACGGAAAAAAAAATCAGTATCATGGAGAGAGTAGGCCTGTAAAGATAATCAATAAATCAATTCATCGTACAGTAACTTTTAAGGAGCTTGATAACTTTTCCAGCCGTAATAAATTCTGTTTGCCTGCTTGTTTGTTTTCTTCATCTTTCTCTCTACCAAAGAGAATGAATATCAAAAGGCTTCTTTCGCTCTCTGACTCCTCTCGTCTCCTTTATTTTTAGGGGCAATTTTGTTACAGAAACTTAATAATTAATGATTTACTAATGATTTATTGTTTTGGTTGTGTTTGGTTCAACAATGGTTTATTCCAATGCATTTTTGTTAACAAGTTCTAGCTGTAAGCCAGACTACATTAGGCTATTCTTATGTTAACAAGTCTATTTTTATTTAGACCTATTGTTTTTGGTTGTCTTGCAATTCCTGTGTTACATGTTCTTTAGAAGGTAAGGTTTATTGATCTTTGTGAGGGTGCATTTGCATTTTTATTCCATGGTCATTATATTAGTTGAAACTGGTCTCAAAAATGTCAATATTATTGTTTATCGCAATAAAGTCTTGGTCAGTTACTCGTCCAGCAAGATCTGTTATCATTACAGGCCTATAGAGCAGGTTAATATGAACATGTAAGACCAAAATGACGAGGCTCACAGCAGCTGTTACAGAAAGAGGAGCCACAAGATCCTAATGTGAGTCAATTGGAGCCAGAGTCAGAAGGAGCCAGAAGAGCCTCCTGGAGAACTATGTCCACTCATATATACAGTTTATGGACCCTATTCAAACCTTCTTTACAGTTAGCTTCTGTTCAAGATTCTGTTCAATTCTCAACCCACAAGTTGACATCATCTATGCCCGCTCCATACATATACCAAAACATCGTACAAAACTGCACACAACAACTCAACAGTGCGACATCTTCATTAGCGGACGCACAGAGATTGTGTTGTGATAGTGCTCTGAATGGGGAGTAACTTAGCACAAATGAAAGTCTATATTTTGGGGTCGACTCCACTTCCCTCTCCTCCCCGGTTGCTCGTCTTGCCGATTATGCCTATACTGTGTTTTTGTTGTCTGTGCTAATGTTGCAGAAGGGTTTCTGTTTTCTTTATGAACTGGTTCCAGATAGTTAGTGTCCCAGATTCCAGACAGTTTGTGTAAGTTTCCAAATTGCAGATAGTTGTAAAAAAAAAAAAAAAGATAGCTATGTCAGATTCCAGATAGTTACTAGCAGCAAAAAAAAAAAAAAAAGATAATTATGTCACAGATAGTAATCTCAAGACCAAACTGTTTATCTTAGCTTCGTGGAAGAGAGTGTGGAATGATGTGGGATTGTTTTTAATCACTGTAAAGCGCGTTGTGTTGCATTTTTTTCTATGAAATGAGCCCTATAAATAAAGTTTGATTTGATTGAACTTGTACTTCTACTTCTAACTATGTTTTCAGTGAATACAGCATTTTCAAAACAACAAAAGATAACATGTTGATTTAAATATGTTATGTGTTAGCAGTTAAGGCCCCATAAAAGTAAAATACTCCTACTACTTATTAAATCAACAAAATGCATGTGTTTTAGGAATATTTTTGCCTCTGTGCATGCTTCCATACTACTGTTGTTACTCTACAATGATTTAGGATTGATTTATGATTTCTGCAGTGTTTGGCACAGATCTCTCGTGGTCTCGGAGTGTGGCGGTTCGCTGGTGTTGTCCCACAGTGTCCCTCTGGAGTTCGATGTGATCTGTTTTTAGTGTGTGTACTCATGCATGTTCCCCGTGGGGCTGAAGTCAATATTAATCACAGATTGTTTTTCTGTTTTTAATGGCTGCAATTGGCAAATGACAAAGGTGGCATTTACTTTGGCAAATCACTATGTCTCTTGGTAATTATGTACAAAAGCTGCTGTAGTTTAGTTGCTTCCAGACTGATTCTTTGTGCATTCTTTTTAAAGATCTCTCAGTTTGGTCTCCGTCTCCTCCTCTTTTGTGGCTAAAACCAAACTAAAAACAGCTCCAGTCAGGTCTGTTTATTTCAATGACACAACAGGAGCTCATGGTCTATTATTTAGAGCAAATTTAAACTCTCCTCAGTGTTTTGGTATTCACTCTTGATTCTGACAAAATGTGTGATGTTTTTCAACTGTTTGTGATCATTTATGTCTTTCCTTTTATACATATCAAGTATACATATCAAATCATGCTGATCCAACTCACATCTTCATATTCACTTCATAATTTTTTGTTTTCATTTATGGTCGTACAAACTAATAATAATGACAAAGATGGCACAAAATTCATTGTTTATGATCATATCAAAAGAAAAGGTCAGGGATTTTGGACATAAGACCTAATTTCCTAGTGAGCCAGAGTGTTGGAGACGTGTGGAGACACTTTTTTAAAATATTCCATCCAGTTCTTGTATTTGCAGAGGTCGCTGGTGCTAGGCTAGTGTATGGCAATAGCCATAGTTATCCTGCCACTAAAAACAGTCTTACCCACTCCACAAAACACTCGAAGCAAATTCATTATTATGCCAGACTGTTGATGTAAATGTCTGTGTTGAAAGAATAACTATGGAAGTAAAACCAACCTTGCATTTAAAGGATTTATGTCTGAGCAGCATCAGCGAGTTGTACTTCCTGATAGAAAACTTGGCAGCGGCGGACTGATATATGAGAAAATAGTCCCTCAACATATGACAATTCATGCGATGCAAGGTTAGTAGTTTTATCCATCCACCCATTTTCTTCGGCTTATCCGGGGATGGGTCGTGGGGCAGCAGACTGAGCAGGGTCTCCCAGACTTCCTTCACCCCAGACACTTCCTCCAGCTCCTCCAGGGGCACCCCGAGGCATTCCCAGGCCAGCCGAGAGGCTTCCTGATAGAAAGCTCGGCAGCGGCAGACTGATATCACCTAGCACCTATCTTACCGGCAAAGTAAAATTTCGCTGCTGCTGAGAAAATAGTCCCTCAACATGTGACGATTCATGCGATGCAAGGTTAGTTTTATTTCAAACATTATTCTATCAACACAGACATTTACATCGACAGTCTGGTGTAATAATAGATTTGCTTTGGGTGTTTTGTGGAGTGGGTAAAACTGTTTTTAGTGGCAGAATAACTATGACCATTGACATGCACTAGCCTAGCACCAGCGACCTCTGCAAATACAAGGACTGGATGGAATATTTTAAAAAGTGTCTCCACACGTCTCCAACACTCTGGCTCACTAGGAAATGAGGTCCTATGTCCAAAGTTCTAGTCTGCCCCTTTAATAGTCATGGTCTCCTTGTGAAGAAAATTTATCTAGTCTTCTAGGTATTTGTGTGAGATTGTTTTTTAGATTGTTTTTTGAAGTGCACCAAGTTAGTAAAAGCTGGTAACACACGTTTTTGAGAGAGGTTCAAGAGAAATGTTTTTTAAAATTAATTTGACCTCTCAGGGTGTGTTTGAATTCATTTATGAAGAACAGTATTGAATGTTATCTGGGAGCTGGTTGACATCTTATTTAAAGCGAAACTCAACCTGCTTAATCTGAATCCTTGCATAAAAATTGCAAATATCCTACATTGTCCTGCCCTATAGTCCCAACGATCGTGATGTCTTTCTATCTTGGGACTTCTCAGCAGCTGGTTCTAAATATAGAAGTACCCCCCCCCTGCTCTGACCCCCACACACCCCCTCTCCCCGCAGCCTCCGCCCCCCCTTTCCCCGCAGCCTCCGCCCCCCTCATCGCCACCGTCTCACATAGCGACCTGTTGCTATAGTAACCGGTCTCCTCTCCATCCCTTCTCTGCTCCTCTCTGTGGCATCAGGGAGGATGAATCAATAACCAGGACAGATGTAGTTTTGGAGTTTTTTTGTTTTGTTTTTCAAGTTTTTTTGTTTTTTTTTGAGAGGTTTGGGGGGAAGAAAAGCAATATTTTTTACCATTTCTTTTCATGTGATTGTCCTTGTAAGCGTTTTTAGCTTTTAAGGCAAAAAAAAAAAAAAAAAAAATCATCATTTTTATTCAGA